GCGGATGGAGCGAAGTAGCAAAGTAACGTGAGCTCTCAGAGTAAGAACGAGGTACAGAGAGGTATTCTGGAAGTTAACTGTGAGCCGCTTCTTTCCTTTCCGCTCCCACCCTTGCAGGTACACTCTTCTGCAACAGCCTGTATACACACACACACACACACACACACACACACACACCAGAGATTCAAAGTGGGCACACACACCCATGACAATTGAGAGACTGACTAGTAGGACTAGGGATGGCAGCCCTTCAGTAACTTAAGAGACGGCCACAGCTGGCAACCCCCAACCACCAAGAGTGTTATAAGCCTCCACACACCCAACTCAATTCCCAGTAGGGTGTGCAACCCCAGCCGGAAGTTGATCCAACTTAAAAGGCTCAAGGTTCACAGGCTGGCCAGAATTTTGCAAAATTTCCACATCAGTCTCACTCTGGTCTGAGAAATAGGACCTGAACCAAGACCCTCCTACAGCACCTATTTAGCGATTTTCAGCATCCACCTCTCTTAACTCTCATCCCATAGACTACACTAGCTCTCAAAAGCACAGGGCCCCAGAATCCTGGAGCTCTCCTATCCCTCCCCATGAAGAATAGAGTGGCCCAAAGCCCCACTCTATAGCCTGGAGTAAGGTCTGGCTGCTAACTCTCTGCCCACTCCTCCTTCCTGGGCGCCCGGGGCACTCTGAGTCCTTGAACCAGCTCTGCCCCATCTACTCGATGTGAACTGAAGCCAGGGGCTCAATTTTTCTAGGGCCAGGTTTGCAGGTGTGTGACAGTCTATTCCTGTCACTGGTCCTGAGCCACAGAAGCGCAGGGAAGGCCTTTGATGTGCTTACTCTTTTGGATAAGCTGCTAATAGGAGTAATAAGTGACAGCCATTGACCTAGTGCTGGGGGTGAGCTAATGCTGTCCCCACCAGAGCCAGATCGTTAAGCTTCTGCCACCAGTGTTCTTTGCTGTGCCTCTGCATCCCTTCCCTGGGCCCTGGGAAGTTATCTCCTAGTTTCACCATGCAGAGAAAGCTAAGGAATCAGCACTGTGGGTTCACAAATAGATGTGGGGTTTTTTGTTTTGTTTTCCCTCAAGTGCTCAGGGCTCTGGGATGTTGTAAACAGTGCCATTTTTAAAATGAGCAGGAAGCTGGATGTGGTAGTACAGGCCTATAATCCCAGCTACTTGGAAAACTGAGGCAGGAAGATACATATGGAGTTCCAAACCAGTGCAGGCAGCAAAGTAAGACCTTGCCTCAAGTGAAAAAAACAAAAAAAAATCAGAGCTGAGGCTCTAACTTGGTGGTAGAGCTTATGTTTAACTGATTAGTCCCACAAATAAAATTAATCAGGGGCAAGCAGGTCCCCCGTCAGACCTGTGCAATGACCTCAGATACCCAGGCCTCCCATCTGCAGCGTGGGAGGTAGCGTCAGCTAATCACACAAACACACCCTCTAAACCCACTCCTTAGAAGTGTCTGGGAATGAGTAGGTGGCATTGGGGGCTGGCTTTGGGCTTGGGAGGCCTCAGGCGCTGAGTGTCTGAACTTCCTCTGCCCAAGTCCACCCTCCTCAAGCCTCAATGTGTTTGTGGTACCAGTACTCACAGGCTGGCGGGAGGCCCAAAGGAGACTCCAGCAAAGCCAAAGCCTGCTTTGTGGATTGGATCCTTAGGGATTGACCATGAGATAGAGAGATATGGCAGCAGTTGCCTGGTGGCTTTTTGGGCCCCGTTAACATGCTTCTGGGCAGATAGCAGGCAGCAAGGTACTAAACCTCTCATGCCCACTTCCCGTCTGGGATGGTGGAGAGATAAGGCTGGGGTGAGAGCAGGGAGTGGCTGTGAGGGCAAATTTACAAAAGGACCTCCCCAGCCCTACAGTGCCAGTCTGAGGTGAAGACAGCCAGCTAGGGAGGGACAGATGACAGAAGCCAAGCTGTCACTCATGTAGCCTAGATTAAGAGCAAATCTTTTGGGTCTTGAGGGTCTATAATAGCAGGCGACCTGCTAGTAGATGAGCAGAAGGATGTCACTTCATCTTACTGGTTAATTTGTCCATGCATGCCCCCCCCACCACCACAGGAATTTAGTAATTGTCCCTGGCTTTGAGGCTCTTGACAGCCTCTTGAACATGACAAAGTAGCCTCAAATCCTATCACACCACACCCCTAGGCAGAAGGGACAAAAGGGGAAAGCCATAGAGATAGGGAACAAGCCTGGCAGAAGAGTCTGGACACGATGACCCAGCCACCTGCTTCCCACAGCCTGGGTTCAAATCTTCCTACATGTGTGACTAGAAGCAGCTCTCTCTCTCTCTCTCTCTCTCTCTCTCTCTCTTTCTCTCCCTTCCTCCCTCCCTCCCTCTGTCCTCTCAGTGTGTTTCCTTATCTGGAACATTAACCCCTGAGAATTACTACAGTGAAGACTTGTATATGTCTTTTACCCCTAGATAAGTAACCAGAAATACAACTGGAGGATGGGTAGAACAGAGAAGAACACATTGTCCAAAACTGTGGCTCTGATAAAACAAACAGACAAAAGATTAAGGGAAAATCATGATGTGGTTAGATTCTGGTGCAAGATTAAACAGTGCAAAGGTTGGCAAACAAGATGGCTGCTCTACCCAGTCAGTGCCCAGAGTGATGTCCCTCTACAGAGGAGAGGTAAGTCGCCTCTGTAAGTTACGTGTTAGAGGCTGGCCTGGCTCATTTATGGCTCCCAGCTCCAAAAAGCTTGGCACTGAACAGGTGCCATGGGGTAAGAGATGAGAGTTTATATGAGAGAGTCATCAGCAAACAGAGAGGCTCAGATAATGTGAGGACTCAAGGCCCAGGGCAGGTTCTGAGCAAGCCTGGGCCTCACATGCACCCTCATAAAGAGGACAAGCACTTAAGGGGACCCTCAGCACCTCAGCACTGTGGTTCTTGGAATGGGGAGAAGCAGAAGTCACCAAGATTTATGCCAGACAGCTGTTGGTGCAGGGACCATGAAGATCCTGCTGGAGCTACCCCTTTACCTGCTTCCCAATGCCCTCAGCCCCTGTACCCTCAGCTCCAGTTCTAAAGACACCCAGACAGATATCATCTGGACCCACCCTGACAAGTAGAGCCACCAAGGCCCAGAGAGCAGGGGCCATCGGAAAGAAAAACTGAGAAACTGGGTATGGAGTATGTTTGCAATCCTAGCACTTTCAAGGCAGAAGCAGGAGGTTCAAGAGGAATTCAATCATCCTCACCTACATAGACAGTTTGAAACTAGCCTGGGCTACACAAAACAATGAAAATGAAAAAAAAAAGGGGGAGACCCAGTTCTCCTGACTCCTAGTCTAAAATTGCCCCCACTCTGGTTATATACCATCCTTTCTACTTATGGGGACCTTGACAACTACCCCAAACAAGCACTCAATGCCTGCCACTCTGCTTTTGTTTTTGTGGACACGGTCTAACTCTGTATTCCAGCAAACTGGTTTAGAACTTGATGCAGTCCTGCCTCAGCCCCCAAAATGATGGATTACAGAGGTGAATCACCCACACTCAGCCTTGACTTGAGTAGGTGCCCACCCCCTACTCACCATCTAGCCAGACAGACAGATGGAGGCCTTTGGATGATAAATTACCCCCCACGGGCCCCTTTTCCCCACCTTCCTCCTGGGGTAATCCTGTTTGCCACTAGGGTGGAGTAAAGGCTGAGAAGTTGTCTAGGGCAACATGACAGTGCCCTGAGACCACTATTCTAGAAGATCGGACAGTCACTTGTGTGATGTCACCAGAAAATGGAATAGAGAGGTAGTTCCACATATAGGAGGCCCTCAGGTGAGAACACTTTCAGACCTCCAAAATGGGCTTGGCCTTGAGAGGGCCCTGTCCTATCACAGTGACAACAGGAGCTGTATCCAAGCCCCACAAGGTCCGGATCTAAGTGTTTACTCAGGGTGGGTCTCATGGCAGGGCTGGGCCTCACTGAGCAAACAGCACAAAACTGCCCTGAGGAAGCCACAGCCACCAGGCCAGTCACTCAAGGTCACCCACATCCTCATTCATGAAGACACTGTCACAGCCATATATTGTCACTTGCTGTCCCATCCAGGATCCACACAGACATACATCATCTCAGTCACATACATGGCCAACTTGACACAAGGGCATGAACATGTATGATTACATACAGCATCAGAGCAAAGTTGCCAGATGAAAAATGCAGGATGCCTAGTGAAATTTGAATTTCAGACACTCAACCAAATTGGGTGTGATGGCTCATGCCTTTAATCTCAGCTCCCCAGAGGCAGAGGCAGGAAGATCTCTATGAATTTG